TGGGAAGGTCAGCTCGAGGCCCGGGCCCGCGGGGAAAGCGGCGGCAGTGGCGGCGCCCGTGTGATAGGAGGGGAAGTTGGAAGAGACCCCCTCGGCTTAGCACGGCACGTGGCCCCGAGCGGTGCGAAGCCGCCGTCGCCGCCCGTTCCCACAAGCGCGCCCAGGCCTGGCCCGGGACAGCGCAGGTACTGCCCGGATGGGGCGCGCGGGCCCTTTAAGAGGGTCCTGGGCCAGGTGCATTCTGGGAGTCGTGAGCACGAGGTGGGGAGCGCCGGGCATGCTGGGAAGCAGGAGGGTGGCAGCTGCAGTCTGGCACGTGGCCCCTCGAAGGGGAGGGGTGAGCGCGGGGCTGGGGGCGTGGGGCCGCGGGCACCCACCTGGGCAGTGCTCTTGGTGAAGCTTCGCCAGGGGAGTAGCAAGGTTGGGACCAGAGGGGAAGGCGTTGGGCCGGGCTGGCAGCTGGAGGCTCCCATCTGGGGCCCTGCCCCCTGCCAGGGAGGGGCTCTGCTGCTGCACCTTGCAGCTCCCTCCATGAAGCCACCTGCTTTCTCATTTTTCCTCCTCTCTCCTCCTTTTGTGAGAGGAGCTATGACCCCATTTTGGCTGCGCGATGAGTCAGCAGTTAATATTAAGGGAGAAGAAACTAGGCTGGAAGGGCAGTTCTGCTAACCTCTGATAGCGGTTAGGCTTTCAGCAAACCCTGCTGCTATTGCTTCCTATATTGCGCTGTGGAAGTTGCAGTGTGGCCCGTGACCTGCGTCTGCAGCTGTTGCACGTGCAGTGCCTTCTGGTACTGTCTCCTCCTCTCCTTGCAGCCTTCCCAGGGTCGTTCTGATCCAGGCTGTGTATCCTTAGGTTGTTACATTTAAATAATGTGAGATTTTTTAAATCTGAGACGGAAGCCCCTCGTTCTGATCCCACCGATGCTACTGCCAAAGCCTCTTTTAAAGAGCGAGGCAGGCGTGCAGCTTCATTGAAGTATAGTCTCCAATCCCAAATTTTACCTCGTACATGTCAGAACTAGCACCGTTAGATAAATTCACTTAAAAGTGCACCTTGTGCATAGTAATGAGATTAAATTTGCATTTTCTGGCCCCGAGAATTGGATGCATTAAGCAGCTGTACCAGATCTGGAGACTAGGTATCAAGAACAGAGTGATACTATGACTGTGACAGCGAGCGCTTCTTGTGTGCATGCTTTATTAGTCTACATGAAACAGTGGCTCATGAGGCCTGAATGTGGAACGGGCTTCAATGTGCCTCTTGTTAAACAGGACTTACTGCAGCTTTATTCTGAACTAGCTAATCCTATCTGGGAAACATTCAATAGCTCATGTCCATAGATTGTTCCTGTTGAGTGGTTGCTGGTGAGAGAAGTGTTAAACTCTTGAATTGGGGGGGATGGGATTCCAGATCTATCATTAAGGACTTTTTTTGATCGAGTAGTTCAGGAATATGTCAATGAAAATCAAGGCAACTCTAAACTGGAGTTGTATCCTGCTTGTTAGGAAATGTCATCCAGGCAGAATTTCTGTTGAGCATCCCGAGGCTGGTGGAAGAACTTAGGGTATGTGCTTGCTCACATATGTATGCAACAGTGGTATGACTCAGGCCTATGAATGCAAGGGAGATTTTTTTCTTCACGTGTCAAACTGCTACTCTACTGGGGTAATTAGATTACCCTGTTGACTGGCAATAAGATATGGCTGTTTTTAAACTGGGTTAGTCACTATAAAGAAAAAGCATCATGATAGCTCGTGGTAAATACGAGTAACTCGTCTCAGTACCTGTCACAGTTGTTTTGTCCCCCTCCTGAACACCACTGGTTCACAGTGCCTGGTACTTTTGTCAGCAAAGTACAAGACAGGCTGATGTGAGCACCTACTCACATTGGGTGGTGGGCATGTTGATGAGGACAGTAAGTGTAGCTTACATGGATGGTAAATCTCCAGGGCGTGTAAAAAGCTTAATTCTTAGTGTCATTCAACTTAGCACTGAGTTAACAAAAGTTCCTGTACTAGATGTCAATCTTGGCAGGAATATACATTTCTGACAACTCTATTAATAGAGGACCCGACCATCTCCAAGAACTGGAGGCCACTTCGAACACTTCTGTATCCTGTTACAACATAATCCAGCATTTCTCCACCTTTCCATGAACTCAGTCACTGGCAAAGACACCTCTCCTGTGAGTGGTGTATATTATTACCCTTTTCTGTAAGAGGAAGAAAACCATACTGTAGTAGGTCCAGGAGGGTGTAGTGTAAAGTGGGATGGATAACCTGGATTCCTTTTTTTTCTGGCATCAGGGCCTGGCTTATAAAGATACTGCATATGTGATAGTGGGAGGTGGTTAAGAGTTCTGCAGTCTCCTCTATCAAAGTGATTTGCATTTAACCAGACAAAACTGGAATAGGTCCTCTTGTTTGTTGGAGAGAGAGTTTTTTTTGGGTTTTTTTTGACTGAGTCATACCAGTGTATTCCCAACAGCAAGCGAAACTCCCAAGGAGCCCCAGCAATAGCATGAAACCATTTTTTCCCCTTAGTAGAGGTGGAAATGTTACTTGTCCTTCCAGGGTACACACATTCCCCTTCTGCATTGTAGCAGATACTAGTACCCAGAGGGGTGTACCTCCCCTGCACCAGCGGAAGCGAATCTCTTCTGTTGTGTTAGTACCCTGAATTCCCATACGGCATTGAATAAACATCTTAGTACTGCAACTGTTCCTTACTGAATTCACTTACTAGCTGGTAAGCCTGCAGAGAGGCTGCCTTTCCCTGTCTCTGCAGCCCCTAGAAGGGCAGTTAATAGGTTACCTTCCCATCTCTTTCTTAGATGTTTTTCCCATGCGATGGCCTAAATTCAACTGCTATTACAGTAGTCCTTGTTGATACCATTTCATTTGTTACAGAGGTATTGCCCAAAGCCTGTTCGTGTTAGGGTCAGCAACCATGGGAGTTGTGCTTTAACATTTACAAGATCAGAGTTTCGCTCATAGCAACTTAATAGGCTTTATCATGGTGTCTGGTTTGACCCCATATCCCGTGGTGTTAAAGATACGTCCATCCCAAAACAAGGTCCCAAGCAGTACTTTAGTAAAAGCTCTTCTGGTTGGGCTCGGATTGTCAGTAGCCTCGGCTGGTGTGATTTTAGTTTCTTGGCCAAAACCAGGGTTGGTCAATCAGAACATCAGTAATAGTCAATCAAAATAGACAGTAGCAGCTGGTAAAACAGTCAATTAGAATAGATGAGAATGGTCCTACCTCTTGCACCACAATAAGCTAGTCATAGAGATCTGGCTATAGAAAAGTGGTGTGCATTTAGCACACCTAACCTTTTCCTATGTGCGCCACATGCAGTAAATGGCCTGTAGACCCATAATACGTCTCTCTTATATGCTGTGATCAGTGAAGTGACATTTCAGTGGCAGCATGGACAATTACTGTTATGCTCATTGAGACACGTGGGAGCATGTCATACCTCTTAGTTACCGTTTCAGTCAGGTAGTCTGGCAACTCTTTATATCCAGCTCAATCTGAAGTTGCCTTTGTAACCCGTAACATAAGGGCTTCAAGTCTGGTTTCTTTTTTTTAACTCCTTAGATTCTGGAGCCCGAGAGTCACCAAAGGAAAGGATTAGCTCGCTGAGCTGCTGTCAGCCTGTGCAGTCTAGCCCCCCACACTTTATACCACCCTGGTGTAGGAGTGGCTAAGTCGAACCACCACTCTGTGCCAGTGGACCTGGAGCGAGTTCAAATTGTTCACAAGTGCTATGCAGGCTTTCAACCTAAAAGTGCTCACAGCTTCATCCTAAAAGTGAATGTTCTGCAAGCTGTCCTGCTGGAGAGGATTTAGCAGAAAGGAGATGAGTTTGCTGAGTTCACCTTCTCTGTCAAGCTCCCTATTCTGTGGATTTATGTAATTTCTGTGCTGTTTCTGACTAGATGTGCTTTACATATATAAAACTAGACCCTGGGACCAACACTACAACATATAGCCAAAGCTGTTTTGCCTGAGTTGAAGCCCACTCCTATTTAGAGGGTTCAGGAGTTCAACTCCTAGTCAGATGTTGCTGGGTTGAGTTCCACTGGGAAGTATGGGGTTGCGGGGGAAATCCCATGAGAAAAGGAGCTGGCAGTTTGGCAAGCACAGGTTGAGGACCTGGAAGCAAGCGCTGCGGTATTCCAACACACCTTGTATAGCACACCTCGCCTCCCTGCAGTATCTGAGCACAGTTTTGTTTCCTTGTATTGCAGTCACGCCTACATACCCCAACTGTAATTGGAGCCTTCCTAAGTTAGCATTGTGTGAACATGTAGTAGGATAGTCCATGCTCCTGTGTAAAGCTTAGAATCCAAATATGTGAGATGGAAAAAACGGTAGGAAGGGAAACACTTGTGTAGCAGTGACTTGATATACCTAAGATCTGTGAACAAGGCACTGTCAGAGCCAGAAGTCCAGGTCCCTGTTCATACAATTATGCTTAATCTTGCACGTATGTTGACATATGGATATAATATTTACCTTCAGTTGTATGTGATTTAATTTGCATCATTCGGTCATTCCTTAATGTGCCCAGCAGCATTCCAGCATGCTCCAAAGCCCCTGGTTCTTGTGATGAGTAATTTCTGATGGAGTAACTTGGTTGTGGAAGTAAAGAAATGAAGCGAGGGGGACTTAACACATGAATCCTTGAAATTGCCAATAAAACCAGTGAGGAACAAAAGAGTTATCAGTATTCATATGGCTTCAGGCCCTGTCTAAAGCATTCTGCTAAAGCAAATTTTCTTAGCCACTTGTAACAAGATCCTTTTCTGCCAAAAGTATCCTGTGAGCCATTGCAAAGATTCTTGAGGTGCCTCCTTAGAAACACAGTGGGACATGACTTGCTTCAGTGAGCAATGCGAGCCAGCATATAGTTTTGAGGAGCACCTAAGAAGTGTTGACGGCCAGGGGCTGAACGTAAAGGGTGTAACATGCAGAAGTGTAGGACTCTTGCCGACTTAGCACAGTAAATAAGCTGGCACTAGTTGCTGCTGAATTCTCCCCACAGTGAACTTGTCCTCAGGAGGATTTCACTTTATGATGAGGTTTGGTTGTTTTCTCCCTTCAATTTTTAAAATCCTATCCATCCCCTAAATGGAGACAACTAAAATAATTTAGGACATGGCTGTCCACTTGGCCACATGTGTCTTGTAAGTGATTAATTTGTAGCTCTCCCACCTCCTGACTGCCGCTATCCTCGTTGCTCCAGCTGCTGCTGCAGTCAGGGGCTCCAGGCTCCCCTTCCCTTCTGGCTTTCACTTTGTGCCCCTGCTCCAGATGCAGAGGTAGAGTAGGGTGGCAGGGACCAGTACAGCCTACAGTGCCAGGGGAGCCTACAGCCAGGGATGGGGCTGCCACCTACCTAGTGTAGCAGTGGAAGGAGAGGGGACCTTTCCACCCATGCGGTGCTAGGAGAGCTTGCAGCTGGAGGGGTGAGGAGAAGAACATGGCCACTGCTAGCGTGGCCCCCAGCCACTAAGAAGTTGAACAGCCAAGGTTTAGGATGTACCCTAATATTTCTTTTCCTAGTCAACAAGACTGCTTTTGGAAACAAAGGGTTATTCTAAATCTAACCTGAAGTTCTGAGAGCCAAACCAGGCTTTGATCCTGTTCCTGTTTTTCTATCAAAGGGAAAAACTCCATTGACTGCAATGAAATAGGTTTGAACTCTTAACCTGCCATGTAACATTAGTGCGAATTTAATGTCCTAGGTGATAAATTCATATTTTGTGTGTTCCAGTTGACACGCTATATTCAGACACCTATCTTATTGGGATCTCACTCCATCTTCAAGTGCTCTGACTTGTTTTGATGTAATTAGAACAATGTTGAAGTGTAACAGCACCCACTGACTAGCACTGTTTGGGGGGAAATAGTTTCAAAGCAGATAGGAATTGATTAGACTCAAGCACCTTTAAACCTTCAAATGGCTGTTCAGATGCTATAAAAAATCTGGTATACTTATGGAACTCTAAAGATACAGTTAAACTATATAGCTTTTTGTGGTAGAGGAGAAAGCGAGGTTCCCTTTTGTACCTGTAAACTGATGCAAATATTTTTAAAGGTTGCTGAATTTTGGTTGCATCAATATTTAGGTGGTGTGACAGGGCTGTATTCCTTCAGACCTAGCTTTGGCTTAGCACCCCTGTTGTGAAACCTTGGCTCTCCTAGGAGCAGAAATTCTGAAGAATGTAGCCTTGTAAGCCAAAAGACTCCTCGTGTGAGTAAGAAAAGATATAAAAGAAATGGCCCGGTGCTTGCTCTGGCAGAGTCTCATATGGAGTATTTATTGTGTGGGGTCTTCAGGGTGGCAGGCAGCAGCAATTCACAGATAATGCACTAGAACAGCATTTCTCCACTTGTGAGTTACGACCTAAAAGTGGGTCGCAAGAATATATGAGAGGGTCACAAACAAACCTTAAAAAAATGGGTCAACAAACTTTAAAAATGGATTCTCCTTTAAAGGAGAACAATGTGGGGAAGCTGTGCGTTTCCCCTTGCAGGCTGGCAGAGTTCCAGCCTGCAAGGGGCTGGTTGGGGCTGAGGGGAGCAGGAGGAGGGCAATCAGGTGGGGGGTGCCACGTGCATGTGGCAGCTAGGCAGCATGGAGCACAGCTCCTCGCAGGTAAGTCTGTGGGGGTGGGGCATAAATTACAAGTCAGGGAGGCACAGGTGACACCGCCTGCCACCCCACCTCCTCTCCAGGGTAGAGCTGTGGCCTGGGGAGCAGCGGCAGTGGCTGGGCTATGGAGGCAGGGTAGAGCTGCGACCTGGCACACAAGTGGTTGGTGGCAGGAGAAGGTAAGGGCAGTGCGGCTTTCCCCACCAATGCATTACTTTTCACGCTGCTGATGGCATGGCTGGTGCAGGGGTTCTGGCAGCAGTGCGTCTCACTGCCCCGCTCTGCCCTCCTGTGCCAAGTCCTGCCTGCTGGGTCACAGAAGTGGCTCCTGCCCATGGTGGTCCAGCCAGGCTGCAGCCCCATGCCCACTGTGGGTGCACAAATCGGGGGTGGGGGGGGGGCATTCCCCACCCCTCCTGCCCCACACACCATGGGCTTGGGTCCTGGGGGCAGCAGGTCAGGAGTGAGGAGCACCAGCAGGGCTGAGGGGGTGAAGGGCTGTGGGTTGGGAAGGAGGGGCACTGGCAGGGCCAGGTGGCCTTTTTTTACTTAAACTATTTACTGGGTCAGGACTGGCCATCAAAGTTTACAAATGAGTCTTGGTACAAAAAAAAGTTAAGAACCACTGAACTAGAAGGAGCAGTGATTGTTGGAACAGGGGAGAAGAGATGCAGATGTAGGCTGATGATGGATACCAAGGAAGATACCAGGGGCAGCAACAGAGTGGGCTGACTGCTGGGAAAGGTCAGGCCTGTTGCTACCGCATTTTATACCAACACTAGATGAGTCCTCCATTGGGCAAAACCTTTACAGAGAAGCATGGGTCAAGTTGAACAGACTGTGATCTGGATATGGATATTTAAAAAAAAAACACTTCACAACGAAGGTCAAGTTGAACAGACTGTGATCTGGATCTGGATATTTAAAAAAAAAACACTTCACAACGATGAACCTCTTGGACAGCACCTTGTCTGAATGTGGTGTCCAGCAAACAGCACAGCATTTAATGAAAAGCTGCAATCTTTACAAATGCCCAGATGGGGTAGGTGGAATCCGTACATTGAGCAATAATACCAGACAGTGGCTTATAGATTTGGAACTTGATATCCGATGCCATATGAAAAAAAGAGGAATGAAGACGTAGAAGAAAAATCTTCTTGCAAAATTAGCCTTCCTTCTTGGTACCTTTTGCTGCTACACTTCGTGAGCCAGGAGGGGATGGCAGCAGTGGCCCCTTGGTAGCAATTATATAGCCTAACATATATATTCAAGTGGTTCTTATTCCATTAAGAAGTAGCATCTAAGTAATAGAAGACAGAGAATGACATCCCTTATTTGTGACTTGTGTCCGGTTGGTTTAGGTGGATAATTGGAATTTGACTCTAAGCACAAAATAGTATTTATAAAAAGTTAATTGAGGGGAGGCAAGGAAGTGTTCAGCACATGTGGTAGATTTACTTACGTAAAATTATCAAAACATGGCCTGTGTTTAAAATGTTTATCACACAAGGAAGTATTATCTATTAATGAATTGAACTGATTGTTTCTGGTCCCTGTGTCCTTCAACATGTTAGTAGTAATAGATCTCTTCATCCCACATCTTGGTTTTTATTCATGGATTAGAAGAGGAAAACATGCTTTCCTGCATTTTCAACTCCCAATTGATTTCTCAACTCTGAATGAACTAGTCATTGAACTGAACTTGTTCAATAAACTGAAACTAAGAAAACTTTCTGTTAGCAGTAACCTCTTCTGCCAGTACAGTCAACATTTTTTGTTCAGGACTTCAGCAGACTCTGCTTAGCCAGAAATGTCTGTTGGTTTAGTGCCCTGAATTTGGCAATGTCAGTAGCAAGCATGCATGCACATCTGTCTTTTTTTTTATTTAATCTGAACATTTTTAATAAATGCCTCAACACAGATTGTTGTCCTTTTGAATTTTTTTAAAAACATTTATCTCTTAAAAAAAGAGACCTAGCTGGGGAAAAAATACATATAATGACCTTTCCACTGTCTTGTCCCTGTGGGCTGGTCACTTATATCAGGGGTGGGAAAAATACAGCCATGGGCTGGATCTAACCTGCCAATTGATTGTATCTGGCCCGTGGCTGTCCCTGTGGCATTCTGGATGGGGCTGAGCCCTGCCCGCTCCCACCTGGGGCAGCTCGAGCCAGGCTCCCACCTGCAGCTGTCCCATAGCTCCTGAGGCCACAGCCAGCATGCACAGCTTCCTGGCGGGGCTGCTACCACTGCTGCCACAGCTGACCAGGTATTGCTCAGTTCCTCCTCCTGCTGCCCCTGCAGCACAACTGGGCAGCAGGTAGTGTGGGTAAATGATGGCAACCATGGGAGTGCACACTGGGCACCATGTGCCCAGCTAGGCCAGGGGGGAAGTTGCAGCTGGAAGGCTCCTACCCCAGTGCGCAGGGCTCCAGCTCCAGGCCTCCTTCCATTCAGTCTGCCCACCTGGCACGATGAGCATCCACTTGCATCAGCCAAGTGGATGGAAAGCAGTCCACCTGGCACAATGAGCAGCCACTTGCATCAGCCAAGTGGATGGAAAGCAGCCGTGCCATGAAGCTGTGCATGCTGGCTGCGGCTGGGGCCAGGGCTGGGGTGGTGTGGACAGGCGTGGATGGGAGTACAGCATAGGTTGCCCCAGGTGAGAGCAGGCAAGGCAGAATGTCATGGGGCAGCCATGGGCTGGATTGGCAGGGAGTGGGGGCAGAGACCACACTTGCACTGCACTGGCCAGTCAAGCTCTGCTGCATGTGCCTCCTGCCCCTCCCCTCCCCTCCCCTCCCAGCCAGCTCCTAGCGCCTAGCACACCAGCAGCCCCCTACCCACACAGTCCCCCCCATGCATACCCCTACACACACAATATACAAAACTAAGACTTTATTTTGAGCTGTTGTGTAGTCACCTCTGTATACACTACTCAAATCAGGGCAAAAATTATTTTCTTGAAATAAAAATATGTTATAGTAGATGTTTGGTTTTTTTAATATACTTTGTTAAAATGATAGCTTCTGAAAGATTTTACGTGAGGCCCTCGACAGCTCACCAAAACTCATTAAGTGACCCTCCAGCCGAAATAATTACCCACCCCTGCTTTATATCCATGTAAGCAGGAAAGATAGGAGAGCCTGAATGTAGGCACAGACTCATTTTTACCAGTCATGGATGGAAGAGTTGTGGTACAGAATGACTAAACTACTGTCATGTACATAGGCCTGCTGCTCTCCTTTCACTGGGATCAATTTGAACACCTTTTTTCTTGCCTTAAGACATTCACTCCAAGATGCTTGTATTTAGATTGCCAGTGCTTGTCTGTCTTAAATGACAGGCATAAATTAAGTTCTTAAAATGACATGCAGCTAAAATGAATGGCAGTGATAGAGCATCTTCTGTTTTTTAAATGATGTTCGACAGCTTAGCATTTAAAAAAACCCTACTAAGAGTTGAATATTGTATTTCAGCACACAGAGCCTTGGGGAAACAAAGCGCTAAATAAAGACAACATGTTCCATCAACAGCTTATCTCAAACTCTCTTCACGGGAGGAAAAATAAAAGCAGTACATCGCTGGTGTTTGTAAATATTTCTTGGTATACAAACTGAAGCATATACTTACAGAGACAAATCATCTATTTGACCAGGTACAATGGGACCCCAAAATAGTCCAAGTACCAAGAGCTTGTCTAGACTAGAAAGCATGCCATTTGAACGACACTAAAGTAAAATCGCAGAAGCAACCCTCTCTGTGGATGCAGTAATTATTATTATTCAGATGTATATCCCACTTTGTCTGGAAAGGCTCAGAGCAGGTAATAACAGGTATAAAAGGCTTATTCTAGTTTGGGAAGCAAACCACGTTTTTATAATGAGAGAACTGCATCTGCTCCTGAATTCATTGAAAACTGGATTTGGGAGTAAGGAAGGACGGTCCAGAAGACTTAACTACTGGAGGTGGGTGGGAAAAACTAAGCAAAGAATGTCACTGGGTAGGAAGGTCTGTGATCTGGTTGTGGGTATAACTCCAGTGTTGGCTTCATTTCCTTTGCAAAGTAAAATCAGTTTGTTTTTCTGTAGATACTATGCTGCGAACTCCTTTGGGGTGATGAAAACGCAGGTGGCTTGAGCTATATTTGGCTGCTTAAGCAACTGAATTGCTCCATCGGTTTACATTTGCGTCCTTACTTTTGTTGCTTTTTTTTTTTTTTAAAGGAGCATGTTCTTAAAGGGAATTTGAAAGTATTTTTTTCAATAGAAGTGAATTAAGCATCAGAACATTGTAAGGGAAGAGAAATCGCGGTATGCAGGCTGGAAAATGTAGGCAACAAGATGAAGTGACTTGCATATTCCATTAATGCTTGTTTTGTGACTTGGGCATCTCCTGCAACTGTCCGAGACTTTGAAAACAAGAGCCCTTCTCAACTCTGTTTAACATGCTACAATAGCAAACTCTTTTAGCTTTCGGTCAGACAAGCAGTCCCGCTGAAGTCAGTTGAAATGCTCGTATCAGCAAAGACTAGACTCATACTGGTGTGACTTTCAGTCTTACAGTATTTGAATTAAGAGATAATAGTGTTACATTTGAAGGGGGCATGGCTAAAAACTAAGCATTACCAATTCATATCATTTGGGCAGTCACTTTGGAGTGCATTGGAGTTCGTCCTTAAGTAGGATATTTGGCTGCTTTCTCAAACCACAGTAAAGGGGGAGTCAATAGTCATTTATCTCTAAAAAGAGCTCAAACCCACAAGAGGGATCCTTCACTTCAGCCTAGGGGAAGATGTATCATTCAGCATTTGTAAACTCCAATATGCTGTCTGTTCACAAGAACAAAGTAGACAAGTGTAGCAGGGAGAGTTGCCTGCCTGCTTATATTTAGCTTAAATACAAGTAGGCTGCACTGTACTACTTTGTCTTTCTAGTTTTCTTGTATTCCTGTCTCTTCCATATGCTTGACACACTCACACACATCAATCCTGCATGTGAACTAGATACAAACAAGGGGAAATCATGAAATTCTGATATTGGCATCTTAAAACTCTCTTCTTGGAAAAGCAAAGTTGTCTAATTTCAAAGTGGGCAACAGCCAACATGTCTCTAGGCAGGGAAGAAAAAGCCCATACTTAAGTCACTTGTAACTTAATATGATGCAGTGTTTAGAAGCCTTAATCCAACTTGCTTCTATCTGAATACTTCTGGAAGAAAGGATATAACTCTGAACATCAGCTTTGGTGCCCAGTCTCAGTTGTTCAGTGACGCTACAGGTAGGTGACAAAATGCCTTGGGGGTCCGGTTGTCAGATGTTTTATCTTTTCTCTTGCATTAGGTATCAAACAGAAGTGAAAGCCTGTATTCTAAGTTGAAGGATTTGTGGGGTGGGGGGAATAAAAGCCCCCTCAAAATAAAGATTTTCTCTGCTCTTTGAGGTTTGTCTGTCAATGGTATGGTCGCTTATACCATGATAAGAGTGCCTGTCTCATTCCTGGATGTATTAATCTTCAAACACTGATGTGAAGTCAGGCAGTGCTGCTGTCTCCATTTTGCTGATGGGGAAACTGAGGCATAAACCGACTGACTTGTTCATGGTACAGAGGGAGTTATGTTAGAGCAGAAGGTCTCACAGGTCTCTAGAGTTGTCATCTTTTCCCCTAACCATGGAAATACCTCTTTCTAAGTTAGCAAACTGACTCTAAAGACCTGCCTCAGAATAGTGTGTGGTACATGCAGTCAAAATCACAGACTTGTCATGGGCAAATAATGCTTCCAGAGACTTAGTAGTAGCTTAAATAAGGCTAGGATAAGGTCCTGTGTCATCTTTTGAGATATTCATGATCAAAACGTGTATCTGTTTTAAGAAGCTAAGAGAATGAATTTTATATTATTGAAAGCAATAAACCAGAATCTGGTCGGTAGCATTGTGATCTAGCACATTAATAAATCTCTTGTGTCTGTTTAACTGTGCTTTTAAAACAGCAAGAGGAGTTGTGAGGTGAGTTAATGCAGGCAGGCAACATGATAACCCAAAAGGGAGGTGATGGATGGAGAATGATGTAATACACCAGAAATAAGGAGAGAATAGTCGCAGTGGATTGTGTATTTCCTTTAGCGGTGTGTCTTACTTTGCAGGCACTAACACAGTAAAAATGGGGCACTGAAGTGGAAAAGTGAGTTAGTTTTCATGGAAGAATGAGTTAATGGAAGAATGAGTTAATTTTCAGGGTGTGGATTGCAGCCAAGGTGTTGGCTTGTTTCTAATAAGAATAGAAAGTCTTCAGGGACATGTCAACCTCCTGAGAGGAGCAGATGAAGGAAGACTTCCTTCAGCACTGAGAGAGGGTTTGAATGTATACCATGTATGTGTTTGTCTCGAGTGATATCAAGGGACTGGTTGCGTTAATGACTGTTTGCTTGGAAGCATTAATAATGCTGGAGAGGGAACTACTGTCATAGCACATAAGGAGGATTTAAGGCATTAGAGAACTACAGAAAACAAAGAGTGAAGATCCATACAAGGAATTCTAAAGACGTTGCTATCCCTTGTAGCTTATAAGATAAAGGCAGTATTTTAATGTATTATATCTTTTCCTTTCACCCCTTCAAAGGTGGTACCACTCGCTTAACAAATAGGGACCTGAGATGCAGAGGGACTAAGTGGCTTGTCCGTGGTCACGGGAAGGCTGAGTCAGAACAGGGACTTGAGCCTGGGTCTCCCACATCTTAGGTTTTCATTAGAACCAAGGGACACTTGTTCTCCTTTAAAGGTGTTTTGCCCTTGCTTTTAGGGAATGAATCTGAGCTGAGTTCTGACTGACTGAAGTTTTTCTAGACTTTTTCTGTAGATTACTTCTGGATCCTGAAGAAAAGCTAATCCTGATCACTTGTCACTGAAGTGGGCATAGCAGTACAATTAGCTAAACCCTCTTTTAATTCATGCTCTTGAGCAGCGGACTGTGCGCTGTCTCCCATGCCAGAGGCAGCTGCCTTTCAGTGATACTATATGTAACTTGCATAGAAGCTTGGCATGAAAAACACTTTATGAAAAGGAAGATGCTTGCAATTAGTATGTCACAACTAATACAGTGGGATGTTACCTAATGTTACGCAACGGCAAAAAGACGACAAAACTTGGTCAGGTACCATAAAAAGTAAACTTTCGCTTCTTAATGCCAACAATGGTGTGTGGTGGCATAGATGTTGTGTGTTATCCCAGAGGGGATAGTGCATTTGCCACCACTTTCGTTGATACTTAGGAATGTCCTCTACTTCTCTAAGGGTGAGGGCCATAGGATGATAGGAAATAGTTCTGAAAAGAACCTCGCAAGATTATCTGGTCCAGGCTCTTGCTCAGGTCAGGATCGTCTCTGACTAAATCATCCCAGCCAAGCATCTAGCCAACCTGTTCTTGAAAAGTTCCAAGGATGGAGATCCTCTAACTTCTCTAGGTAGTCTGTTCCTATACTTAACACACCTCCCCCCCAAAATCAGAAAGTTCATAGATTCATAGGTGCTAGGGTCAGAAGGGACCTCAACAGATCATTGAGTCTGACCCCCTGCCTAGGAAGGAAAGACCCCAGCCAGATGCCCATCCAACCTTCTCTTAAAGACCCCCAAGGTAGGGGAGAGCACCACCTCCCTTGGAAGCCCATTCCAAATTTTGACCACCCTTACTATGAAGAAGTTTTTCCTAATATCTAGCCTAAATCTGCTCTCTGCCAGTTTGTGACTGTTGTTCCTTGTTTGTGACCATTGTTCCTCCTAGTCTCCAATTTAAATTTACTCTGCTACAGCTTAAGGCCATTGTTCCTAGACCACAGAGGAAAGCCTGTCTCTGCCCTCTCTGTAATCACCTTCCAAGTATTTGAAGACTGTTATCAAATCCCCTCCCTGCCCCCACAACCTTCTCTAGACTAAATAACCATACTTCTTTCAGCCTTTCCTCATAAGTCTTGCTTCCCACACCCCTAATCATTTTGTCACTCTTCACTGGACTCTTTCCAAACTGTCTGCATCCTTTGTGAAGTATGGGGCCCAAAATTGAACACAGAACTCCAGGTGAGGCCTCACAAATGGTGAACAGAGCAGAAGAATCACTTCCCTTGATTTGCAAGTGATGCTCCTGATAATACAACCCAATATGCTGTTGACCTTCTTTGCAACAAGAACACACTGTTGGCTGTGTGGTTTAGCTTATGGTTTGGTTGTGGGCTATGTGATGTGGGCTACTATCATCTTATTCAGCTGATGGTCTACTGCAATGGTTAGACTTGAGGCACCAGTCAGAAAATTCAAGCTCTTATTTTTCTATAGTAAAAAAAAAAGTGAAAACTAATGGAGCAATTCTTCTGTTGCAAAGAACTCAAACCACAACAGGTCAGAATGTTTTAAACACTATGAATTCCTATTTGAAATCTCTGGGTTTATCTTATAAATCATGCTTGCACACCCAGAGTGGGACATGGTACTCTGCAGCAGAACCCTTAAAAAGATCTCAAGGCACCCCAGGGTCCCACATCACACTAGTTGAGAGTCACTGGTCTACTGTAATCCCCAGGTCCTTCTTTGCAGAACTGCAGCCAGCCAATCATTTCACAGTCTGCATTTGTGTATTCAGTTATTCTGACTGTACCCATCTATGCCAGCACAGTAAGTGACGCACAGCTTGGGACTGCACTGCCTGAGCTCAAACCCCTGTCTGTGCTGACATGGTGAAACATTGAACATTCCCCGTTTAGGAGGCCTCCCTCTACTTGCCTGCCACATCTTGATCTTAATGAAAATAAAAGGGAGGTATGTTGTCAACCAGCCTAAGGCACATTCTATTTGTAGGTGTTTCTTGGGGCTTCTCCTTCCCTACCCCCCATCCACACGCCAACCTGGGTCTGTCAGCCTTATGGTGCTCGGTATTCTAATTGTAGGCAACCAGCCAGGTTTAGTATTGTTCTTTCTCCAAGAATGTCTTGATTATAGGGACACAACACGTGTGATTAGTTCAATTGCCCTTGAGATGTTACAGATTTAATTCTTCCATAATTAATTCATAAGTCAAAAGAAAGGTCTTAACATTAATACATAAATCACTGAAGTTCATGATCAAATTAATTACTCACAAACATCTGAAATCAATGAAGTCATGATGGTCTCAACTCAAGTACAAATCAAGTCAGTTTATAAATAATTTTCAGGCCAAGTGAGCCCCCAATGAATTAATGGGCACTCTTAATTCAACAAACTCCCCGATCGTGTAGCCCACTCTTATAACCACTTGATTAATTCTGGTCATGTGGCTTTGATCTGTTCTAGGGCTCCGTCAGGATACAGCGCAACAAAAAGAAACAAAGCCATACGACAACAAAAAAAGAAGTGGTAATCTCCCCGCCTCACTCGCGCATCCCACTTTTAACATCTGAGTACTGGGGTCCAGGACAAATCCTTTTCAGGGTGGCCCTGGATCATGGAAGAGAAAGATACCCCTCTGGGTATCCCGGCTGTGGAACCGGCTTGGTGCTTTCCTGGTCTCGGCGTTCTGGAGCTTGCAGCAACTGTGCTGCTTCCTGCTACCCCGCCATATGGTTTTGTTCAGGCTCTTGTAGCTGGTTCTTGGTACGAATGTCTGACGTCAAGCCCCACACACCTCTCCAGTCACAGAGAGCATGTATTTATAAACTATGGAAGTAGTTCTGCTCACCGCTCCGTGGTCTCCGTTCCTGCACCTGCATCAGGTAAGCAATTAGTTCCAGCCCTTGCCAAGCATTTGCCTGAGTATTTTGCGGTCCTCCTAAACTGTGCAAACCCCTCCCACATGGTGTCTGAGCACCTGGACTCGTCGTGTTGCGACACTGACCCAAGTGTAGGACTTTGCAGTTGTCCTTGTTGAATCTCATCTGATTGATTGTGGACCATTTTCCCAGTCTATCCACTTAATTTTTTATCCTAGTCTTGTCCTCCAGAATGTCTGCAACTCCCCCCATCCTGGTGTCATCTGCAGATTTGCTGAGCATGCATTTAATCCCATTGTCCAAATCATTAATGAAGCTTCCTAACTGCAACTTTCTAAAAACACTGAAGGAAATTGTTAGTGAGAAGCAATGTAACTGATACCAAATACTCTACCTTTGCAGAGACATATTTTTTACAGAGGATGGCCTATATTTTCATGCTGTCAGTTCATGGCTTTTGTCATTAGCCATAGAAAATGCGTCCTCACCTGTGAGGCTTTACTGGTAATTAGGTGAGTCTAATGGATAAGTGATAAAGTATGCAGTGATCTCTTAATGGTCCTTCAGGGATTAGTATTTCACCTGGTATAACAAGGAATCATGCTAAAGGATAGCCAAGATTGTTAACAGACATGCAGCTCTGGCTACTTTACTGAATTCCATTGAGTTGCATAGCTCTGTTTTCCTGATTAGATTATGACAGGAGCATCCCGATGACTTTCAAAGCTCGATGATAAGAGACTGGCCCTAGTCTGAAAAAAGTCACTGGTGCTGGGTAGAATAGTGGAGACCAGTTAAACTGGTTATTGGAATCAGAGTCTTGGCAAATATCATCACTGTCTAACTTGTTTATGTAAGCCAATATGGTCTTAACTTGTTTTATTCTATGCTTGAAGGAATCCCAGATGGAACAGAAAGCAGCGCTCCAGCCAGGTGGAACTTCCTCCTTCATGACTTTACCAACTGCCGCCTTCAAAACAATATAGGCAAGCATATTCCAAGGTTCCTAAAATCCTAAAGGATGTGTGCAAATTGGAAGGAAGCTTAATGACACAAACATGTGAGTACTCTGGTCACCTTGTAGTATTACAATACATATTGTGCTTGAATAGGAGATGTTCTTGGCTCACTGCACTGTAGTGCCTCTTAAACTCAAAATCATACATACACCATTCCTCATGGTAGATATTTGTAACTTCCCCTTAACTGCCCCATCAGCTACCTGTTGGTTCAATTAGTAAATCAAGCTTCCTTCCTTTCAGTCTCATGCCTCAGCTTCTAAGGTCTTGATCCCAGAATGTCTACATGTTCTTGATTCAGGATTGGATCCAAAATGTGAAGGGCCCTCTGTTCTCAATGTGGTTCAAATCCAGCCCAAGGTGACAAATCTCAAAAAGCACTCATCTAAATCTCTGATCCACTTGTGGTTGCTACTGCTTTCCAGGTCTCTCCTTCCATTGAACACTCTTTGAGGTCTGGTTTCCCCATACAGGAAGTATGTCCGCTTTAAGGCTACCTCACGTTTTGTAGAATATTATTTCACTCAGTGAATTTGTTCAAGCTGCTGCCTGCTTTGCTACAAAATCCTAATGCTTCAGCTCAGACTTACCCAAACCATACCTCTGTGCACATTTGTAAACTTTGGGAATTACATCGAATACCTCAGGAATGCAAACGGTAGTCTTATCCGCTCTTGAAAGCTTGCGTGCAACTCTCGCTCTCCTAGATGATTCCTGGCTGACTGCTCTGCTAGCTGGGTGTGCTGGGGAAAAAGGAAGTTATAAGGAACAGAGGTATATCGACTCTTAGCATCAGAGTGCTAATCAGATTCTCAGTTCTGCCACAGGTTCTGACTGATCTTGAGTGAGTAAATTAACCCCTGTTCCTTGGTTTACAAAGGGGAAGTGATCATACCCAGATGAGGAAGGCAGAATATTTCTGGTTTGTGTTTCGACAAGACCTTTGTTAATGACCGTTTTTGAGTTAGCTTTCTGAGAAGGCCTGGCAATGTGGTTTGTCTTCAGGGCTGCTCACAGAAATGCTAACCATTCACATTGCAGAGCATTTAGCCCAAACAGGGTGACTGTAGATAAACAGGATCAAAAGCACTGATAAAAGAGGTTTTCAAGCAAAACTTTTCTGTTTGTTTGTTTATTCTGTTAATAAGAAGTGTTAATAGTAACTCCCCTTCCCATCAGTTCTCTGTAAATTGTTCTCTGTGGGTTCCAGGCACAGTATGTGTGCTAGCAGCCTCTTCACTGGACTGAATGAAGCTAACAGAAGTACACTGGTGGTATAGCACGCAGCTTCCACAAGTCTTAGCTGGTTAACTTTAGTATTGCTGTTGTATACTATAAGCACTTTTTCACTAGCTCCCTCCTGTTTATATCAGTGTCTCATTTCTTGCTAATAAGAGTGGCAGCACAGGCTAGAGTTGTGGCCAAGTAAGGGTAGGAACTTCAGCTTCTCAGGCTACGTAGTTTGATACTCGGAGCGCAATGCAAAGATCCAGCAGGACTGCTGATCAGATGTTAAGTGCATGCCACAATGGATAGAATGCTTGTTTTTTTTTTCTTGAATGAATTAATAATGTCCAAGCAAAATTTGAGTGTTTAATGATTGCAGTTAAAGCAAGTGTCCTGTCTAAACGCTAAAAAAATGAGAAGGGGAGAGAGAAAGAAGGAAAGCGAGAAAGAAAGAAAATAAATCTATGGCTTAGCCTGCTGAGTGTCAGCTGACCCATTCTAGCTACTAACAAGTGCTGTATATATTCATCTGGGGATTCTCAGTTGCATTTGCCAGGTTCAGCGGTCAAAACAAGCCTTTAGTACCAAGGCCAGATTCAAAATGGTGTGAGGAAATATCTTCCAACTGTGCACATGGGTTAATGCCAACAACTTAGAATAAACAGTTCTGAATGGCTGCTACCATAGAAGGATTTAACTGCTGGTGACTTGGATGATGCAACTGTGAGCCCTAAATGGAGAGTAAAGCGAATAACCACAGGAGGATGATGCTATACTACTAGGTAGGGAAGCACTTGTGTGTTACAGTGACACCTAAGGACTTTAATATATCTGAGGTATCTAGACAGTATATGCTTCTCATGAACTTTAATGCATAACTGGTTAAATGAGATGGGTCATTTAAACAGGCCAAGAGGTATCCAGGCAATAAGAAATGTGGGGTATAACAAATGGTAATCGTGTCCCAGCTGTTGTCAGAAGTCTGTACTCTGTAAGCAAGAGGTGAATCGGAAGATGTCTCTGGACTTCTGACATGGAATTTGTCCCTGATCATTTTAAGAGACCATGAAGTCTCTATGGGATAAATGGCCTAATGGGCACCAAAGGTAGAGCAATTGGTAGAGCAGTGTTGGTGGTGTGTCCCTGTGAACTAATAGGGCAAGTCTAGGTTATAAAAGCTTCTAGAAAGAAAGCTAAGCTTGTCTGACAGCAAAGAAGGGGAATGAACAAAGGGCCACCAAAACAGCTATGCATGATCATCCTGGGGAGCAGCTTCAGTAGTTGAAGTTCAAGGTAGGTGTGATGATGTGAACAGCAGAAAAGCCAAAGTTGTAGAACATGAACAAATAACAACTTGAATACTGCCTAGATGACTTAGTCAAATGAAAGCAGTGTCTAAGAGGATACATATATTTTACACCAAAGTGCCTGGAAGAATGTTGCTGTTGTCCAACCCAGTAAACCAAAAGTAGAGCTTGGATAGAAACCTTTATTTTGTCCAAGTTGAACTTGGAGTTGATGATGTGACATTTGTAAGGAAATGGTCTACAAACCTGCCTCTCTGTTTTGGGCTGAGTCACTTGCATAGAGAAGTCAGGTCAAAGCCAAGTAAGTCTTAACTATCTATGGCAGCTTGTTCCTATATTCTTCGAGCCCAGGAGTAGATGTTGGGCATGCTGTGACAATGGAAAACTTTGTGGGTCAGAAGGGAGATCCAAGCTACCAGTTTTGGGAGTCTTGAGTGGTTTTTTGCATCTGTAAATCCCCTGAAACACAGGAGACTTGGGTATCCTGGATGGGTGGGAAAAAGTTTGTGGGAGGAGTGGGGAATTTGTATACTTGCCCTGGGTATACAGAGCCCAGGCACTGCTATGCTCTCCTTTTGAAAGGACACTCAAGGTGATAAATTAAAATATTTGCAAAGTTTGGGGCTCCATTTCTTTTTAATTTCTTATTTTGCTTGATCTAGATGTTTTGTCTTTTTCCTTCCTGCT